TTTATTCATTGTTTTATAAAGTTTTTATTTTAAATATTGAAAATAATTATTGTTTCAATCGTTAAGATTCAAAAATGCTGTTTAAGATGGTAGTCACCTTTTTTTTCAATATTGTAATTTGAAATTGTGAGGTTTGAAAGAAATATAACTATTCACACGTACCTATTCAATCATTTTCATTTCACATTATGCTATTAAAATAAATATAAATTAGGTACATATAAATATTAATTTTTAAACTGTCGTATAATGCGGCTATAAATTATGTTTTCTTCATTTAATTCGATAATAAGTGATTTAAACTTTAATCTATAGCTTACTGCGATACAGCTACGGTCCAAGGTTTTTTTTCCATACATATTATTCCCATATTGGAGCGACATAGACGGTCAATGTCATTGGTGCGTGTGTGGCGTTTTCTGAGGATTAACCTTCCTATTGTGCGCACTTCGTGAAACAACTTATTCGTTTTAATATACTTAATATTTTATTTTTTTTAATCATTTATCGTTGTTTTAATCTGAAAAAAAATACGTCACATTTTATTCAAACATTTTTAGTTTATAACATTAACCTGACGGAGTATAAATTAATTCATATTTTACCTAAAAAAATGTTAATTTTCACTGACGACCGGACGCCGCGTCGTAGTAACGAATACGGTCATTTATTTTTTATGTTCAATTTTATGTTTAACTAAAAAAATGTAAATATTTACATATTTTTATAGACGTCATCTCATGTCATGGACCAAGGCAAAAGAAGGCGAAGAAAGATTACCGATTTGTTCTAGAGATAGGTCCTGGCTGCAGAGCAAGGTGGTCCTGCCATAATGTATTAACGTTGCGATGCTCATAGCTTCTAAATTATTATTAATTGTTCCCGATGGTTTTTGGAATACTATATGACTTATCAATTCGTCCGGCGTTCTTATATTTTGAATCACCTAGTCATATTTTATTACCGCGTCATTGCGTAGTAAGATGTGAAGTATAGTTTGCCAAGATTACTCTTTTGTCCATTATTCGTAATTTATTACAATCTTGGACTTTTTTTAATTTTTTTGTGTATATTTATAATGTATATTATACCTATACGTATTAACTATACCTAATACATTAATGCATTATTCATTTAAAAAATATCTGTTGTAATATTCTAGAAATTAATAAAAGCATTGTGTCTCACTTGTTTACCAATATGTAATTCGTTCCATCGTCCACTTGAAATAATATTTCCAAACGTATGTATTATATAATGGACAGTTTGAGTTTTTTATAATCATGGAATGTACCGATTGCTGTACCAATCAAGTCTAAGACAACAGTGAATGGATTACAATAGAGTTGACACATATTATAGATAAACAAAATTATAACTTATTCGTTTTTCAAGCATATTTGCTTTAGATTATTGGTCCTCAATATTTTTTTTGTGACGACATCCTAATTTAGATCCATAAAAATAGCGATACATTTAAAACAATAAATGGATTTTTGAAATTTAAGAATTACAAACATTTGTAAATTAATACATTTATATGTTAAAATGTTATTAAAAAAAAATAATGATAATTTACTAAGTTAAAATTTAAACAATTCAAAGGAAGTATTATAAAAAACAGTATAGTTTATAAAGATCCCGGCCTGCATAGACCTTCGATTCGTAGGCGAGTGGTTAATAAATTCACGAGTAATTTAGTCTACATATCTTTTTTTACTTTTTGTTGTTTCCAATGTCGAAAATGTTGATTCACACACGTATAATGTTGAAAAGAAGCGGAATTTTCAATTCTTATTTGCTCTTACCGTCGTATTCGTGTTGTATAGAAATTATTTCTAATAAATGAGATAAGAATACATTTATAATTGTTTTTCTAATACGCAATATTTATTATTTCATTGTAATGTCGTAATAATATAATGTGTATGTAGGTACATTGAAAGCTTACAGTTTTATTAATAATTCTTTGGTGACACGCACCACGGTAATACGTGACACACCGGTTAAGAACCATTTTTTTTTAAACGATCTTAGACTAAATACTGTTATTGCATGTACCAGATTATACCCACAAAATACGAACTCTTTTAAATATATTATTATTACTGATGATAGCGACCGAGAATATTTCAAAGTAAATATTACATTCTTTATCACCAAGGGTAGGAGATGGGATATCCAGCAGATCATTTTTTGACTGGAGATAAATAATAACTACAAGTATAATATATATTCAGTATATGTATGCGATCATTATTCGAAATCAAGTTCATAACTATTTGGTCGATTGGATAACTAAACTTTGAGAGAACTGTTAATCAACTCGCTGAAACTTTAAACCGACCATTACTTAAGCAATCTCCATCATAGACGAATGGTAATATTATTAAAATACAGGGACGGCGCGTACGCAGTCCCAGCTAACAAAAATTCTGCGCCCGAGGTATCCACATTAGGGATACTCGCAGGGGTCAATCGCCTCGATGTGCAATGAGTCGACCTCGCCCTGGAGGAACCGCCTATTTGATCACGGTTGACCTCCACGCCAGGTAAGTATGTTGGTCGGCGGTTCCTTTGGCATTTATATGCTACCCGAAGCCCTCGCGGGACAGTGCTCCTCGGACGGGTCACGGCCGTCCCGTGAAGCCGGTACCCGATGTTTCTGCGTTACGAGACACGCGCGCTCCGACAGATCTATCGTCAAACCTGTCCGGAACACGTTGACGGGTTTTTAGACTCACGGGCCTGGCCATCGGTAGGCCCGCCGTACGGATCCGTACGGACCGGTGCGTCGTCTATGACCAGCGCTATCTACCGGACCGTTGACCTGCAGCTACACGTTTCAGAATACGTTTAAAAACTGCCGTGGGTATTTTTTAATTTCGATTGTCTGTTGCTTTACCAGAAATCTGTTACCTTCAAATCCCGTTCGCGGCCCGGCGTCCCGCGCCACCCATAGCCAATCCCGAGAATACTGGGATATAATCCCGTGTCGGGACAACTGTGTCTTAACGTAATCAATTTCGTTCAACCTGTTGGACGCACTCAATGAAAAACATCAATAGGTCTGTTTTACAAGTGCTTTTGTGGATTGTTCCGGTAGGATTTTGTCTATGAACGTTTGTTTACACTGCATAACCATGACAGGGTTCGGTTTTCTACAACGACCTACGGCCACCTTACACTGATGAACACGCCAATAATATTAACTGTTCGTAGGAATAGAATTAATTAAGAATCAAATTTTACACCCAATTGCAAATTATACCAAAACAATTGTTTTAACTACAAGTGCAAAATATATAAAAAAAAAAAATTATTTTCCTAATTAATCTATATGGTTCTGTAATACTAGGGTATCCTTAATTATCACTCAAGTGGTAGGGTTAGATTTTGTTAGATGATAGCATCTCATAGATTATGTTCAATGAATCATTTATGTAGACTTTTTGTAAAGCCTAAAAACAAAACCTATACATTTTGCAACAATTGAAGTCTAATAATTGGGACGCGGATTTTTATGCACTATGATTGTAATGTTTGTATGCATTGATGCACTAAAAAAATAATCATATGTATGTTTAAAATATGCACAAAAAAACATGCATTTCAGTAATAAAAAAAAAAAAAAAACACCAAAATATGTAGAATACAATGTTATTTTGCCTTAAGTATAAAAAATGTATAAGTGTAAATATTATATATCTACATTATATATATAATAGAGCCTTATAATATTATATAATATATCTTTTTCAATTTAATAATAAATTTTTCAATTTAATAATATTAAACCTGAAAAAAATTTGGTACAAACACATTTATCTACCAATTGAATAAATTATATTCTAAAAAGTTGAAAAATATGATGAAATTTGCATTTCATTCTTAAAATCCCAAAAATATTAAAAATGTAAATTATAGTTTTTTTTTCTCCATATAACATGAATTAAATTTATATCCATGTTCACATTTCATTGGGTCAATTGAAAGAATATTCTATATTTTATTATAATGATCTTTATTAATATTAACATTATCAATTATTAGATGGAAATAATAACTATTTTTGTGTGAAATAAAATGCATTAGGAATCTTCTGTTCACCATTAATTAGATTTTTTAAATTATATTGAAATTGCTAGTCTTAAAAACAATATTTTTATTAAAATTGTGAGCAATAATTAATTATTAATGTCCTTGATAGTAATTAATAATAAATAAATAATAATTTCAATTATTTATACATATATGTTCAATGACTAAAAAGATTCAAATTTAATTTACAAAAAATAATATTGACTATACTTAATAGTAATCAAACTATTCACAATACATCACAATAGTTGAAATAAAAATATTATTTGAAACACACTGGTTTCTGTTAAATTATAATTTATAAATCAATGGAAATTTGAAATTAGTGATGTATTTTATGGAAGAATAACAATTTCTAAAAAGACTATATTAATATATACAATTAGATACCTAACATGACACTTGTAAATTAATTTACTATTAATATAGAAGCTATTCAACGCTAAAATACAATGTAGTTCATTAATTTAGAGTTATTAATATTATGACAATAAATTACAAAAAGAAAAATCGAAATATAAATTTTATTTTTTAAAGATTTTTTTAAATAAATATTGGCAATTTAACCGTATAAATATTAATAGTGAACATTTATCAAAATCTATGACATAAGTAATATAGTTACTGTAGTTAATCTTTTACAATAGAAATATTAAAAATAAAAGTTAGAAAGCTTAAATAAAAATAATAATAAAAAAAAAATTTTATAACAAGTATCGCAATTTTGTATTAATAAATTAACGCCTATGAGATATAAACATTTACATTAATCCTTAAATAGTTAATTATTACTATTTGTATGATTTGGAATACATCTTTAAACATAAAAATTAAATAGGTTTTACTTAAATTATTAAATAAGTTTTAAAATATAAATAATATTATAATTTGTTATAATAATACAAATATTACTTTATCTTAGCATCCAAATCAGATACAAAAGTAGAACAAATTTGAAAATATTAACTATCTACATAATATTTTTAAAATCTAGTAATAATTAAATTTTAAATAATTTCAATAGTGTCAAGTGGTAGCCATTTAGAACTTTCAAGTGCATCCCATAAATTATAATCTTGCGACACCAAGTCTTTGTTTAAAGCATCAACGTCAATTGATTTTTTGTAATCTGAAAAATTGGACAATTATATTAACTAAAATAATTAACAATATATGAATAAACACGTCAAATGTTATTATTATAAAAATATAAAAAAATGTTCATTGTTATTTTATATGCTGCTGGGACTTACCAACAAGAGTTAAATTACCATTGGTTTTAACCACTGGAGTTTCAACTGTTGACTCTATCTTTGGTACACACTTTTGATTAAGTGATTGATTCCACATTGTGTATCGATGCCAATAGTTGGTTTCAAAATACTGTCCATAATCTTGACTAGCTTTGTACCCTTGAGAATCATTTGTAGCACTGGAAATATCATATATTTAATATTAAATAATTATAAAATATTAATAAATCATAATTAATTTGTAATAATAGTTAATCAATGCTGAATAATAATTTTATAATGCTACGTAAATATCAGAAATTCAGATCAAATAAATATTCTTAAGTATCTTAATGTTTTTTTCAAAATGTTAACTATAATTCTATACATAATTTATAAAGAATTTAGTAAGTTGCATATAACTATATTTATTAAATCTTAAATTGTAAATTAAGTATTTATATTTTGGTACCTATTTTTTAGTATAGATTATATGAATGTATATTAAATACTCATATTTTGATAGTTTTTAAAAGTTTCTAGCATAAATATACTTTTCATAGAACTACTATAATATTATTTATCTATGAAAAATCAGTAGTTATATTAATAAGACTCTAGTTAAATTTATTTCTAATGTTTTTTGATACTAAACAGATAATTCTGTTTTTAACATATTTTATTTTAGTCGTTAAATGAAATTAATGTTTGAAATTGTAAGAGTTACAAATGGTAAAATGTTACTTAAAAACCAACACAATAAATTAGCATTAATATATGTGATTATAATAAATTACTAAAAAATGCTTTCAAATAATAAAATAAAATAAAAATTAGTAAATTGTTAATACTCGTAAATTAATATATAAATAAATAGTTTATACATAGTAATAAATAAATAAATGCTTAGCATGGAGTTTTATTATATTTGTAATTTACAACTGATTTAAAATTAAAAATTTATCATCAAGTATATATAAAGTCAATAAAATTTCGACTCAAAAATGTTTACAAGCTGATTTCTTATTTATCATAACAAATTACCCTAGTTATCAAACAACTATAGTACCTAACCTACTTAAATTATCATAAGTTAAAAATTTAAAATAAATAAATATTTTAATATCAACAACATAAATATTTAATGGTAACTAATAGACAGATTACACTAGAATATAAATTGATGGTAAATTTTATGTTTAGAAATCTAAGAAAAACATTATTAATATTGAGTTTAGAAACAATAATAAATATTATTAATTCATTAGTTCTATAATAGTCATGATTATACATAAATAGTATTTTTATATAATATTACTATAAAAAATGTCTCAAAATTATTTTCTAAATCTTGTTGCAAAATTATTTCATAAAAACTATTTACTATATTGTAGGAAAAATAAAGGAAAATATTTGATGAGTTATTTAAAATTATGAAAAGCTATTAGATAAATATTCATATTCCATGAATCTAATGTTTTTTGTTATATAGATTATAAACAAAAATATTATGTATTTGAATTTAAATTAATGTAATCTTAAAAATAATTAAGAAGGTTATGGATGAATATTTTATTTTTAAAATAGAAGATTGAATAATAAAATAAAATTTTCTTAGTTAGTAAAAACTATGACACTTCAATATTTTTTACATTATATAGCTGTTAGTTTAACAGTTTAAATTTTATTAACATATGGACATTTATTTGATTTAAATATAAAGTTGAAGATCATAAAATGGAGACAGTATTGTGGAAGCACCACTTTTTAATCTATTGATTCAACAGAAAATGAAAAATTTAAAGATCATTGAATTTCATAGTAATTAAATGTATAATTAATAAGTACTTAATAATCCAGAACAAATTTTTTTATTACTTTAGGGCATGTTATTAAACTTTTATCATAACGATTTTAAAAATTTTGTATACTTATAGTTTGTAGAATAGGTTATGAAAAAATAATATTATCTTTATTAAATTGTAATAGTTGATTTTCACTATATATGAATTAACTTATCCTTTGAATTTTCAAGAATCAATGGTCTAAGATATTATTATGTTAATAATTAATAATTGCTAAATATATATATATATATAATCATAAAAAATTAAATTATAATTATTTTAATTAATGTTATACTTAATTTACTTTATTACTTATAAAAGGGCTTATGCCTGTATATTCTATAAAAATAAAATATAATTAAATTAAATTAAATTAAAACAGTGCATTTTATATAAGAAAAAAAATGACATTTTCTTACACAACAACATGACGTTCTGATTTTGGTATCACACTGCTAACTTTAATAGGTTTGGAACCTAAACCTGGAAAACCATTCATGTTGTTAAGACAGTGTTTTTGTTCTTCTTCACTACCGAAACGAATAAAGCCATATCCTTTACTATAACCTGCACTATCTAAGACCACTGAAAAAACAATTCCATTTTTATATATAGAATTAGTATTATTTTAAATTATAAAATACCTTTAGCTGTACGTATAGATTGATAACGACAAGCAAATGTTTTATACAACTGATAATCATCTACATCTGAGCTAAGTTCGCCCAACCATACAGAGAAATCTCTATCACTAGTAGTAATTTTTCCAGGATTTCCAGCATGATTGAGTTTAAATCTCACAGGCTAAACAAATAAATAAATTTTCATTATAACACAGTTTAATATTAATAGATACTTTACAATAAAAGGTTAATTTAAAATTTTTCACTAAAAATTAATAATTTTACTTTAATATGAAATTATGTTACATTAATCAAGTGATTAAAATTAAATATTTCTTAATGTATTTTATAGTATTTCATTCAAGTACACATTAATTCATGTAAATATATAGTAAATTAATAAAAAAAAAATAGATAAGTTGAAGAATGTAACAGTTTTAATACAACAACTATCAAGAAATATTTTTATTTTATATAAAATGATAATGAACTTTTTATATAAATTTGTACAACTGCAAGCTATAAGACATTAAACTTCGAAGAAATAGTTTGGAATTAATTTTAAAATAACATAATATTATCATTAAGACTATTAAAATTACAATGATTTGTTATATATTTTAAAATAAATTATGTGTTAATAATTTATTATAAATTAATATATTTCTTTTTACTTCCAACTTAAAATTATAATTTTTTTTAAATAATAATAATTCATTTAGCGGGGTTAAATTTAAAATGGTTACTTACTGGATTAGTTCCAGGTATATATTTCCCATTAAGTTTATGCATTACTGATACTGGATCATAGAAGTCAACAAATGCATAGCCAGCTGTCTCTCCAGTATTTTTATTACGCATTAATTTGACATTCTTTGGATATTCACCCATCTTTTGAAACGCACCCGTGATAAAACTCTCAGTCATGTAAGGTTCTAGCTGTAAATCAAAGTTTTACTATTACTATAAATATTAACGTAACAAACATAATATAGTCAAGTCGTGATAACTCAAAGTTGAAGGGGGATAAAAATTAACTTTGAGATACATATTTATTATTCGAGATATCTAACTAATTTATAGGGTAATAAAAAACGATTCGAGTTGTCAAGTTTTTCGAGTTATCGCGATTCGACTGTATATGAAATACTTACACTTCCCATCCATAAGCTAGTGACATTATGTCCAGGTGATGGCACTTGAGGCTGTTGCACTGGTACATTTTGACTAATAAATGTTGTAGCTGTTTGTGGTAGTGGTGGAGCATTATAAGCAGGTTGTTGATTATAATTGTACATTTGATAATAATTTGATGGATATTGCTGGTATTGATGATTGTATTGCGAATATTGTTGAGTGTACTGATTTGTATACATTTTAAAAGAATTTAGATTAAAAGGTTTTATAAATGTCACTTAATTAGAACAAAATTTATTACTCGTAATTAAAATAATTATTAAAGATTTGTTAACATAATTAACAGTTGATTTGGAATAAGGAAAGTAAAAAAATAATTCGAAATGTGTTTTACATACTTTTATCACTCAACCCAAAATTGTTTATAACTTGTAATTTAGTTGATAAGTGACATAAAATCTCAAGTATAAACACAAAATAAAAAGTGGTATAAGTGGTAACGGTGAACGTCTGATAACAGAGATAACGTTTACTTAAAATTTAGATTCAGCTTAAATTTTGTACTGTGTGTATGTCATTTCACTAACGAAAATTACGTTAGTTCAAAATATTTTATATTTAACATCTGAAGCATTTACAATATTCCAAAACTTAAGGTAAGTAGAATATAATTTGTATGTATTGCTTTTTCATGATATAATTTTTCATTATCGTGTAGATGAGTTCATTGGATATTTCAAAAGCAGGAAATGCTTTGTGGCTTGTTAAAGTACCCAAATATATTGCGGATAAATGGGATAGTGCACCTAATAGTTTAGAAGTAGGTAAAATCAAGGTGACAAATACACCAGGCAAAAGGCCTGATATTTCACTTAATTTGTCTGAAGCGGTATTATGCTTGGAAAACGACAAAAATACTGAGCCCATTCCTAAATCATTCAAATTAGATGTGTCACATTTCACTGGCCAAACAATGGGTGTGTTATCTGAACACAGAGTGCCATACAATCCAGATGCAGTTGTGCAAGAAACCGATAAATTAGCTATTCAAGGAAAAATAAGTCAGAAACTAGAATGTCGGCCAATTAGTGATCAGGTGATTGATACATTTTTTCTGAGTTAGATTTTTTTTTTTTAGTATTTTAATGTATTCTATATTTTAGGTCTATATGGATTTAAAAAAACAAGCCATAAGGAAAGCACATATTCCTGCTAGAAAAGTTCAAAAATTAGACAAAGTGGTACAAAACTTTAAACCAATATCAGATCACAAACATAATATTGAATATAATGAAAAGAAGAAGTCGGAAGGCAAAAAGGCACGTGACGATAAGGATGCCGTCATGGCTATGCTATTCAAAGCCTTTGAGAAACATCAATATTACAACATCAAAGATTTGGTGACATTGACTAAACAACCAGTGGTATATTTAAAAGAAATCTTAAAAGAAGTTTGTAATTATAATCTCAAACATCCCCATAAAAATATGTGGGAGTTGAAACCTGAATATAGACATTATAAAGATCAAGATGACATGGAGACAAATTAATGTATTCTTATTTAATATTATTATTTTTGAATTTAAATTTATATCTTACTATTAAATTATGAATTGTATAATTTAATACAAAACAGTTATAAATTTAATATTTGTTTAGTTAATAAGCAAATATTTTCAGTAAAAAATTTAAATATTCTTTGCCAACCTTGACCAGCAACAATGTAAACTTAATGAACTAATGAGGTTCTAACACTATGGCTATAGTGATGTATTATTTTTTTAGTTAAATAATTTAATTACTAGTGCTGTATTATTCTATATACTTAAAAATCAATTTAAGTTTATTTAATTGTAATGCAAATGGTATTTTTCAAGATATTTTGACAAATAGGAATAATACTCTGTACAAGTATCTCATTAAATTATAATTTATTTTTTACTGAATGTACACAAATAGAGTGTATTTTGTTTTATAGATAAATATACTAGATTAGTTTTTCTTTTAAACTTTTTCTTACCAGTTTTTACTTATGTACAAAAATATAGGTTAAAAGTACTTAATCATATTACATAGTTGTTTGCCTGTATCTTGGTTATGCTCAAATATTAAAAGGATTTTATATATAATGATCAGTGGTGTATCCATAGGGTATACTACATATATCCAAGCACTTTGTAGAGAAGTTTTGAATTTAATTAATTGTACAGGTTTGAATTCTGACCTTACTTTGTATTAGACATTCAGTTTTCCCTCTGACGATTAGTGTATTACTATTGATTAGATATATATAAATATATGTGTATTTTATCAACGGTATTACTATGAAGTAATTATTGATGGTATGCTATGTATTTATAATGGAATCAATTTATTGAAATAAATTTAATTTCTATTATTGTAAAAAATAAGAAATTATATTTCAATTTATTGTTAATATTTACAACCCTTTCACACCACCACTGTCTAAATAATAAAAATGTCCATATTCATAAACACATATTAACTTGTAATATTTATAAAAAAAAAAAAGGTACAATTGTACGTACTTTATACTATTATTAATAACAATAGGATAATGCACCAAAAAAAAAAAGAGTTCTGTACAACAAAAATTAATTGCATATTGTGACTGTATTTATACGGTAAATGGCCAGCAGTGGATTGGCCCACCGAGATACCGAAAAAGTTCCTGGTGGGCCGCTAGTCGTATTATAATACAGGGCAGATGTACTTGGATTAAAAAATTATTTAATAAAAATAATGTATTTAAGTATATTGTATTAAATTGTAAGATTGTGATTAAAACCTATTGTAAACGTGATGTTAACAGTTCTACGAGCATTTAATCCTGAATAAAGGAGACTTTTATGAAAAATTATTATTATTGACCAGTCATACGGTAATTTCCCGGGCCAAAATGTTTAGCCAATCCGCCGCTGCAAATGGATTTTTAAAAAACTATTAAATTTGCTATTTTAATCTAAATTATAGTGTGTACCTATATGAATTGGTAATGAGAGAATACAAATTATAAAGTTGAGGTACCTGCTGGTATAATTATCTAATACATATAATATTATATTAAAATAAAAATAATTATAATAATTATCTCGAGATTTGCCCATTTATACATCTATACATTTAATCGTGACCGTTACCGCTTTCGCGTGAAACCATTGAGTGATAAATATTATTACATCGAAACTATAATAGATGGGCAATCCTAATGTTGGATTATAAATTTAAATATATGGTAATATTTTTATAACTCCACACATTTTTAACCCGTAAGTGGTATGGTGAAAAAAAAATCACGTTAGTACCATGGCGCGGTCTCCTGTACCAATTTTAAATAGCTGTGATCAACAGGGTTTAACATTTTCACCACCATTAAAGCCGTTCACACGTGATGTGTATTTTACCAGTGTGCTTTGAAAATATGTGATACCAATATATATATCTTATGGTGATGCCATCAAATTTTGGTTATATATTTTAGCAGTTTTAGCAGATATGAAATATTTTCATAAGTTTCAATAAATAATGACTGATGAATATTAAATTATATAGTAAACAGTATTTATTATATTATCATTAGGGCTCGGAACTTAATGCACTTAAAAAGTACTAAATATGCATGCACTTATGCGCTTATAAAAGTACAAATATGCTTCAAAAATATGCACTTAATTTTTTTTTTAACGCAAAAATATTCATTAATAAAGATATTTTATTTAATATACTCGTACATAACAAATGTTGTTGGTATTTTATTCTAGACTAAACATAATTTCAAGGTATAAATATATAAGATAAAATAAAATAAAATTAATAGCTTGAAATTTAAATTGTTCTTTCGAAATGTTCCCATTAGGTTTTTCATAGTATCATGAATATAATTTCAAGGTTCCTTAGCAATAAATTGAATAGCCCAATAAAATCATGCAAATGCAACGCTTTCCGAACCCTTCGTTATTATGAATAATAAGTTATCATAGAATATTAAATTATAACCAAGGTGAATATATATCTACCTTAATTATAACTATTAAAATCGGTAACCACATGCTCAAAAGTTGGATAAAATCATAGACATGATATATTATGTCTATGGATAAAATCAACTTCACGGTATCTTATGGTTAGTGAGGTAATTTGTGATTTATTATACGGTATACCTTGATGTAACAATATGGTTCAGCCAATTAGAGATAATTATTTTAGAAGACACGACACGGCACGGTGTAGTGTGAACCTAGCTTTACAGTTTTATACTATCTCCACGGAAAGGTAGTAATATAACCTCCGTGGTCGTATCATTAATGCCTTATCACCTAAACCAAAAACCTGCTGCGGTCTGTGGACTTAGCTATACCGTTTAAGTGTTAAAATACTGAAATTTAAATAATTCTAGTGTTCACATACCTACGTAGTGTTAACTTCAAAAATTAATTTTCTAAATTAATTCATCCCTTAAGAAGTATGAATCTTACTACTAAATTTTCGCCTAAAAAATTGGGTACACATAGTGGACAGTTTCACTGCGATGAAGCTTTTGGTTCCTACATGTTGCGTCTATTATATCCAAGCCTTGAAATCATTCGCACAAGGGATGAAAAACTGTTGGCTGAGTGTGATATTGTAATTGATGTTGGCGGTGTGTATGATCATAGTAAACGTCGTTATGATCATCATCAGAAATCATTTAATCATTCAATGAGTACTCTTATGCCTGATTACAAATGGACAACAAAATTTAGTAGTGCCGGCTTAGTGTACTTACATTATGGTCATGAAGTTTTGAAAAATATTTTGGAACAAAACGTATCAGAAAGCAATTTAAATATAATTTATGCTAAGGTATACGAGAACTTTGTGCAAGAAATTGATGCTATTGACAATGGTATTTCAATATGTGAAGGTAAGACAAAATATACTATACATACTGACCTAAGTAGTCGAGTTGGGACCTTAAATAAAAAATGGAACCATGTTGGGAAATTCAATGATATGGAAGCGTTTGAACAAGCAATGCAAATGATAGGTACTGAATTTAAAGAAACTGTATTGTATGCATATCACACATGGTTACCTGCTAGATCTTTGGTAGTGAGTGCACTTGATCAAAGATTCCAAACACATACTACTGGTCATATATTAGAACTAAGTGAGCCATGTCCATGGAAAGAACATTATTTTGTTTTGGAAGAAGAACTTGGTGATGATCTAAATCCAAAGATTGATTATATTATATTTAAAGATAATTCTAATGATACTTGGAGGATTCAAAGCATGCCAGTTTCTCCACAATCATTTGAACTTCGTAAACCATTGCCAGAGAGTTGGCGGGGTTTAAGAGATGATGAATTGAGCAAAATTTCAGGAGTGGAAGGTTGTGTTTTTTGTCATGCTACTGGATTTATTGCCGGTAACAAGACTAGAGACGGTGTATTAAATATGGCTATAAAATCTCTTGAATTATAATAATTTTTACAGTTAAAAAAATAAATTGATATTTTATAAATTGTGTTTTTACTTTGTATATTTATTTATTTATGTACATTTATATACTGGTATATTTTTATGTTATATAGACCAAGAAAAATATAACTGAAATTATCATATACAATAATATAGAATCAAAGTATATATAATTTTGATTTTTATTATCTTTATTAGCTGGTTATCATCAGTTAAGAAAAAATTATTAATTTTTATAGTAACTATAAAAATTAATAATTTTTTAAATTAAATATTAAATATTATTTAATATTTTAATTTTTATTATTATTGAAATTATTTTAAATTATGCACTATTATACAGAGTGTCTATGAAACACATGGTTAAGGGAACTAGTATATGTATACTCTCTGGAGTGACCAAATTAAGAATCTTTTAAAAGGTTTTTTCTATCTTCAAAATCTGGGTTGTATATAAATATATTTAGAACATTATTTCAAATCTAAAAATTAATACTTGTAACAAATTTCTTGCAAAGTTCTCATGTGAATCAATTTTGGGCTGTCATGCGTTTTTCACACTCAATTCGTACAGGATCAAAAGATGGTATGACAAATTGATTTGTGTGAGGACTCTTTAAGATAAAAAAATATGAAATTTATTAGTTGTTATTTCACATATCTGATTAATCAACACGGTTTTTATTGTAAAATAATCATAATTTAACAAAATATATTTGAAATTCAATAAAAACCGAAAAGATTCATCATTTGGCCCCTCCAGAGAGTACGCATATATTAGTTTCCTTAACCATTTCATAAACACTCTGTATAACACTATAAGAGCTATAACGATGCCTCGAAAGGTTATCATACATTGCTGGTATTAAATAATTTATTATAAATGAAGAACATACAAATTTAATTCAATAGATTCAAATTATATAACGAGTTGGTATTAGTAGATAAAATGGTATTTGTAAATATTTAATTACTGAATTAGTTTTCAATTAGAGTTTTGCTTATAGCTTAGTTAATAATAAATATTTATTACAAATGAGACCAAATTTTTATATATTCTGTGACTATATATTCATATTTAAAATCTACTCAGTTACACATAGTAAATATACAATATACATATTGAATTTGTTTTTAAATATTTTATTTACTACTGAAAAATTACAAATTGAGGGTACACATTAATTTGATCAGTACGCTCTTTTAAATGCACGGGTTATATCATAAAATTTCTATTTGAAAATAATCGAAAATAAAATTAAAAAATTAACTTATTTTTAATATTTTGTTTCGTTTTAAAAAAAAAAAAGGCCAAAGGCTGGATCCCAATTTTTATGGCATTCAGGCCATTGAGTTGGTTATAAATTGCCATAAAATAGTCAATATGGCAACACAACATAATGTTGTATGTATGTCAGACGGAAACAATGTATGTGGTTGTGGCGTCCTCAAACAGTATATAACCTTATAGAGCCTCGCTTATCCGGAAATTTGATTAATCATGATTAAATACTAGAAAAAAAAATCAATAATGTTTAACCTTAATTTCAATTGTACGAATATAACTATGTAAATAGTATTTATGTACTATAGAATTAAAAAATTAAAAATTATAAAATATTGTATTGAGACTGAACAAGTTATTTTTATTAAAAAATTGTTTGTAATACTTGGTTGCTACTGCTGGTACCTACGAAAGCCAGTTTCAATGTTCAATATTACCAAAACAATAAGTCATAAAAATAATTTTGATTAATTTTATTTATTAACCCTACACTGCACAATATTTTTTTTCCTTCAAAAAAAATAATGTGAGTTTTGTGTATACTTCACTAAACTAGGAAAAAAAAAAAATTTTTTAAGTTTTGGTTTTGCTGAAATTTCGAAATTTTAAATTGTTCCATATATGTAACATTGTGCATACAGAGATGAGTATTTTATTCATAAAATTTTTTTTAACTACAGATATAATTTTTACTAAGTACATTATTAAATAATTATTATTTTATAACTTTTATAAATTTTATAAATATTTATAAATAAACTTTTATCAAATTTTGATTTGCAATATTGATATTTTTTATTCATTAAAAAATTATAAAAAACTTATAACACTATATTATAAAAGTAGCAGGTAAATAATATAAAAATATTTATCATTGTGGACAATGATAATCATAAAAACAGTCATTTGTTTTATTTAAACATAAGTATACTGTGCACTTTCGACACAAAATTGATGTTTAATTAATATAATCAGATTCACCACTTTCATCATCACTGTCAATAGGGGTAAGGGTCATGTTTTCGAAAATCATGTGTTCGAATGCCGTATGTCCGAACTTCAAGTGTCCGAAAAATTGTCTGTTCGAAAGACTGTGTGTACAAAAGGTCGTATGTTCGAAATTATTGATAAACGAAACTAAACGAAAATAACATTATAATTGCGTTTTCATAATATTGGATTTCACATAATTTTATCTTTACTGATAAAGTATTACAGATATTCTCGACGGTTTTTTTTTGTCTGTTATCTATCAGTACGGCTTAATACATCATTATTAAAGTGTCAAACACAATTTCGTTTAAATTTTGTTTTTAAATAATATTTTATAAATTTGTCTAAGTGATATTTCTTTTTTAAATGGCAAGTTTAAAGACGTTTAAAAGTATACACGGCAAGGAAATGTTACTTGTAAATAATTATGAATTCATGCTTGATAAGATACGACTGTGAATACGTGATCAAAATAATATATATTATTGGAAATGTACAAAATGATATGGAGCAACATTTCGGACAATATTTGACCACGTTAAACATAAACAAGACGATTGTTCTATTTTTAATGATCATTACCACGCATGAATCATGGCACGGTCGACTTAAGGGTAGGAACAATGTATCAATAGTCATAATATAATTTGTTGCAAAATAACGTGGTTATAATATATAAAAAATGTTTATAGATTGGTATCCAAATAACCAGGAGTTTACAAATTGATGAGACAATTCCGAAAAATTCAGAATGAAACTGAAAACTCTATAGAACAAATAATTCAAGGCAGAACAAGTAAGAAAAGAAAAACATGCAATGAAGAACGGGAAAAACGAATTAAAAATTTAGTTCTAAGACTAAAAAATTCAGAAATAAATATTATTGAGTTTTTACGAGAAATATACAATTTAAGTTTTTAGTTTTTTTTTTTATTTTAACATTTACATTTATTAATGATTTATTTATCTTACGACTTTTTATATTTTTAAATTAAATTTTTTACACAGACAATCGAATCAACGAATAATAAATATTATGGTAAAATTCATGTTGTTTTCGTTTATCGATAATTTCGTACATACGACCTTTCGTACACAAATTCTTTCGAACAGACAATCTTTCGTACACTTGAAGTTCGGACATACGGCATTCGAACACATGATTTTCGAACATATGACACGCTACCGTCAATAGGTATTTCTAATGCAAACCTAATTAAATCTTCGTCATCTGCGATATTCTCCATTTATAATTTATTAAATAACCAACAGAGATTTATCACCAAATATAATTAATAAGTATTAATTATAATAAATAAACATAAACAAGGGCAAAAACAATATAATCATTAGTTAAAATAATTGATTTAACTTTTTTATTATTTAAATATAAGTAGAATATTCGAACGTAAACGTCGTAAACACGTACTAATACGTAATACTATTATTAATTATTGCACATACAAGACCGATTATAGTTTTTATATAATGTACTTCTTGCGCTCAATGTTCCACATATGGAACAATTATATTTATGTGAATTGCTATTTATAAACTCATATTAACAGGGAAGTCAATATTATTATTTATAGACCAGAAGATAAGCTAACCATTGACGTTTTTTTTTATATATGTAACCTCCTTGATTTTATTTTAATTATTATAAAAAAGGAAAAAAAGAACATTTTGAAATTAGTACTTATGCCGTTTTGGAACAGGTTTTCTGGAAACATAGCTAGCGACATCTATACAGATTCATTAAAACTACACATTACAATCATATCAACAAAACGAAAGCCAATATTAACGGTTTATTAACCCTTTCAGGCCCACTACTATAAATACTTAAAATTGTATGGTTTTTTTTTCTAATATTACAATATAGAGCTCAAATAAGATAAAAATTTTTTTTTTTTTATTTTCATGAAAAGATCTAAGTTTTCCAGACCTGATGCCATGTGGCATCATTGGGAACATAGGGGTACTCATTTTATACTTTTCAAAAAATAACTTTATTTCTTATAAAATATTAAAACATCACATTTTAACAATTCATCACATTAAAATATTTAAAACATAATATTAATATAAAAAAGTAAATGGTATTTAAGGCAATGGAAAAAAAAATATTAACCTTTTCATAAAATAAAAACATAACTTTGTTGTACATGTATAATAATAAAAATAACAATAAGAATCAATAGGTAGTAACTTGTAGTACATGTATAATAATAAAAATAACAATATCAATTAATAGTAACTTGTTTTACATAAATAGTAATAGAAATAACAATATCAATTAATAGTAACTTGTTGTTACTATTACATACAATTACATACTATTACAATACATTTCAGCATTATTCAAATCTATAAACTCTGTAATTTCAGCAATATGTTGAGTAATAATTTGTTCTTCATTGAGATCATCTTCATCATCATTAAAATCTTCTATATCAGACATATCTCCTCTAAGGAGGTTTTCTATTTCAGCATCATTTAGAGCCATAATATAAATGTACTGAAAAAAATGAAAGTAATATTTGCACAATAAAATATATACTCGTATAGAACCAATGATGCCAATTGGAATCATCAAATAACATTCTCGTAACAGCCAAAATAACAATAACACAATTAAACTAAAGACATTTTTAGAATAATCTGTGTATTTTACATAAGAAAAAGTAATTGCAAGCATAATAAAATATAAATTACTTACCGAAAATTGAGGAAATAAATTTAAAAGTAGTTCCCGTCGTAACGGTTGAA